TAATAATATAGAACATTTCTGTATTTTTTGCTGATAATTTGATATCACGCCCAGAAATCAAACTCTACACTGACTGGTTGACCTATTTATATGATGTCCTGTAGAGGAAGTGAATGGACCAATCAAACACACCTTTGCATTCAGCTGAATGCTCACACCTGCTCCTAATGAGCTCATCAAACCAGCTGCAGCATCAGTCCTTATCTTTCCCTCAGAGTATTTTTTTTTAGTTATATTTCTGTTCTGTCATTTTTGTTTGTTTACATTCGCAGTACCTTTGGTTTCCTGCTACATTTAGTTCCCACTGAAAACGTCTGCCTGCTCGTGTTTTTCTGTCACACAGTTACATCCACCACCCCTCAAAAATAAAGCAAACAACTCAGGGGGGAGAAACTAATTTTTGATGTTTGGATCCACTGTTTTTCTATTTGCAGACAAACTATTTACTTTTTATTTATTAATATGTACTGATTTCTGCATTTGAAGCCTGCACATCAACCCAGTACTTGTAGGATTCATTCATACTGCCAAAGCTCTAAGGATCAGCTTTGCTTTTATTCCTAACATTAAGCAAATCTTAAAAGCCTGCGCGGTGTAATTTGAACTCCCCCTGCGGCCAAAATGCTTCAGGCACTTTAACTTTTCGACATTTTGCAAAAAGGAAAGAGAGAATTCCCTCCTTGTGGTTCAGAATTAATTTAATATTTTCCTACTACTTTTACATGATCATTCCACTAAAAGAAACTGAACATTTGAACAAATGAGTTGCTTTTTTGACTTGCCTTTTCTTGAACGCTGACGTGTGTTGCTTTGCATGTGAATAATAAAGGGGATGAGTTTGTGTGAAACTATGATGAGATGTGTGCAAGTGAAAACCATTCTGGGTGGGGAAAAAAAAACAACAACACGTGAGCATGCATCTGTGCAGACTAACACATCCCCCTAACCCAATCTGCCTCCAGTGAGTAACTTTTTGCAGCTTTCAGGCAGGAAAGTTCAAACGGATCATAAGTGAAAAGCTTTCACTGCTTATTTACTCCCCGTTTATCCAAACGGCCAGCTGTGAATTACCCAAAAAATTATAATAGACATTCCTGAAAATCTTTCTAACACACAGAAGAAAGCCTTGATTTCACCCACGCTTCTTTAAGGTCAAAACATCAGCTTGTTTGTGAGCTGATTAGTCATCCTTAGCAACAGCTTCATCTTGTCAAAGGAGGTCTTAGTCACACTGTCAGTCGTCTTCGTGTGTAGGTGTCTGACAGAAACAAAAGGATCCTTGACATTTGAAGAAGCGAACCCTCATTCGCAGCTAAACTGTTTCCACCCAACATCGTATCAACAGCTCATCACTGTGACAATTACTAGACAAGTCATCTGACCCCGTTTATGTGTGTGATTAGCTGCCGCTTCTGGTCACTGAAAGGGAAGAAACAAAAGCATGAAAGAAGCGGCGTGACGTGATGTAAACAAATCAGCCCAGTTGTTAAAAGCAGCAGAGGTTTTTAAACAACACTTAATGCCTCTCAAAGACTGATAAAGCTCACATTTATTCTCATTTTGACTACTTGTTTGTTGGTTTAAAAAGTCGTGCCTTTGAGTAAAACTACATTTTCTGCCTGCAAATTGTTGCATTAATCAGATGATTGGACTGTAATTAAATGCATAATCCCACTTTTTTTTAAGATGTTTTCAGTTCAGAAAGACAAGTTTTCTGAGAATGTTTCTTAACTAAACACACAATAAAGTCTTATGTTCTACAAATAAAGTCAAATCTCTACTGCAGTTATTTCACTGAGCAAAACCATTTGACTTTTTAATTAAAAGGGAGCAAAAAATAAGTATTGCGTAATCCACTGCGCAAAACAGCTAAACTTAGCTTTCGTTTAATTCATGAATTATGATGAAATTTAAAACTTTTAAAGTTACTATCTTGGATTTATTGTATAAAATCCATGATTCAGCACTTCCTCTGACCCCAGCTGACTGGGAATAGAAAGCTCGGAGGCACTTCTGAGAATTGCTTTGACAACAGTTTGAAAAGTAGGTTTAATTTAGGGGCTGCTTTTAGATAATTATAGTCAGTGGCGTAAAAAAAAAAAAAAAAAAAAAAAAAAAAAAAAACATTACATTGGTGAAATAGTTGTGGGCGTAAACTGTGTTCCAGGCTTTTGTCGTCACAGAATGGTGTGACTCCAGGTTTAGCTCCGAGTTTTTTTTCAATTTCTTTAGAGAACAAAAGCAACAGGTTTTGTGAATCTTTGAAGGGGTCTTTAATTTTCTTGCACCAAAAAATAGCTCAGATGAATCATGTTCAAGTGTTTTTTTTAGCATCTGATTCTTTGGGTTGGAAGTGTTGCTCTTAGTTGCGTGACCAAAAAAACATGAAATTTCAATTTTAGTTGGCATTTTCTGTTATTTCACGCTGCAATAAGTGCTCACAAGGTGTCCTCTTTATCTAAAGTTCTTATTTTGCAATCTGTAAAAGTTTAAAAAAATCCTCTTGGGCTTATAATTTAAAAGTTGCAGAAGTTGAGAACATGTCTATCTGCTGTTACTATATTTTGATGTGATTTAAAAAGTCATTATCACATCAAACCGAGTTTATTATCAAGAGATAATGAAAGAAGTCGTTTATCTTGAGATAAGGACATTTGAA